GCCGGTGCGACTTCAGCCGCACTTGCTGCATGCACTGGCTCCAACGCCCCCGTTATGGCTTTATGTGCAGCATGGCTATGACTTATTTGGCACACATGCCTGAAACTGATGGAATACCGTATGTCCGCACATTTAAAGCCATGGCGGTATATTCGATTATTAGGCCAGTCTCAGTTATAAAGCCACGGGCTTCATAAATGAAATGACGTTTGAAGTACGTTTTGTAAAAATGAAGGAATAAGTACTACCGTAAAATTCCGTTAATAAGCCCTGGGCGTATACTTTGCAGAGCGTCAAAACCGGGCGTATATTTGGGCATGGGCTTATTTTAGGGCATGGGCGTTATTTCGGACGCAATCTGCAGAAGATCTATCTATCAGCAACCCACGTTTCAGTGAACCAACCACCTTTCACGCTGAGCGCGGCACAGGTACAAACCACAGCTGGAAATTTGGTCGTAACCAAGAATGTAGCGATAAATTACAGATTTGATAGGTAAACCACTTGCTATGGTAAGTACAAGGCACAACAGGTACACTCGCGCGCTGGTCATTTTGAGTCCACTTTACGCCCTGGGCTTATTTCGGGCATGGGCGCTAAAACGGACTTGAAGTGTACACCGCCTAAAACTGGGCTTATTATCGGACATGGGCGTTATTTAGGGTGGGCTTATTTACGGAATTTTACGGTATGCTAACAAACTTACAGCCCAGCAGGAAGGGTGAACAAGTGGATTTGGATTGAAATTTCTGTGTGGACTTTGGCTTTTAAGGCATGGCGTAGTGGGTGAGTCATTTTACACATAAAATATCTAGGAAAGCAGCGGTGTTTCGAATATAAGGCCATGGCTTTAAAGGCGCTGACATACGGTATGAACAAAAAATCTACATTGGATATGCCTCACTCACAGGTTCTCCAAGTGCTGGTGGTGGACACATGCTGGCTTGGCACGCTGATCTACACGCCGGTCAGCATGTCCGGTTCGGACAACATGATCACGTACAGCACGGCGGCATACTTTGGCAATGCTGGCATCACCACGCGTGGACCGGTGAGGAAGTGATTTTAATGCGGGCATGCATGCGTCGTGCATGAACACCATTGCAGTCTTAACCAAGTAGATGTTAACAGGGCAACATACACCAGGCAACTGTGATCTTTATATACAGTTCTGCTCAATGAAATCCAGTCACAGCGTCACTCAAGCACGCGCCGGGCGTTGCGCAGCCCTAGACCTGCGAACACTGGGCTGCGAAACTGTGCAAGGGCGCAAACCTGAGCGACACGACTGGTTTTCATTTAGCAGCACCGTAGTGCCTTGTGCACTTCTGTGTGCTGTGTAGTTATCCCAGACCCAGGCCCAGCGTTGAACACACGGCTCAACCTGAGTAGAAAAACCAGTGCACAACCTGTGTGTAATGACTGGTATAGAGGGCACTTGATAATCATGTGACGGTACGCATTTCATCTGTATCATGAGTGGTTGGAGCTGACATCTTTGGTGCTGCTTGTGGTGGGGTGTCTTTCATTCTAGAATGAGATCGTTGCCTATTGCCAAGTGCACAACGGCGGCCTGATTGGTCTGGACACGGCCGGAATCTACACGGGCAGTCCCACCGACCATGGCGCACAGTACCATCACAACTGGGTGCGCGACATGCGCGAGAAGTGCATCCGCGGTGACGACCTGTCCGCCAACATGACCGTACACCACAACGTGATGGCCAACTGTGGCGAGCCCAACGGCGACGTTCGCAGAGACGGCATAGGCCTGGTTAGTTGTGAACGCTTGCATTCATCTGCATTGGTTCTTTCTCTGCATTGGTTCTTTCTGCATTGGTTCATCGGCCGTGCCGAGAACATCCAGGCTAGAGAGCCACAACTAAATTTAAAATTGTGTTGAGCTGCAAACAAAGATTTCTGAACACCAGTGTGTTCAGGCACGTACGCAGGGTCAACGGGAAAATGAAACCTTGACCAACCAAAGGCGGTGAGACTGCTGTTTCCAAGCCATGCAGTTGCTCTTTGCTTGTTGGCTCCTCACTCAGCGCAGGTGGTCAAGGGTCTTGGTCATGTGATCTACGCCAATACGATGATCAACTGCCAGCGTGTGTCGCGCTGCATGCCGGCGTGTGGATCGCCGTACAAACCTTGGGACTGCCATGGCAACACGTGTCCATTGCTGATCATCAAGCAAAACGTGGACACGCTGTACTTCAACAATGCCCAGCATAATCAGACTGGCCAGATGTGCGGCTGCGGTGCAACGGGTGATGCGACGTATGCTGGCGGCATTGCTTCGGGCATCTTCAACGGAACAGAGGCGGATATGGTGAGTGATGTGTGTGTGGGGGGGGGGGGGAGGGGGAGTACGTGATTGCACGGTGTACGTGTGTGTGCGTGGTGGTGGGGGGGGGGGGGGAGGATAAGCATAAAGTTGTTTGCTGTTTTGCATGTGCGTAGAGATGTACAAAACTACTTCACCTGCATACACACACCCTTACACACACCCTTACACACACACACACACATGTACAAAACACACACCCTCTCTCTCTCTCTCTCACACACACACACACACATACACACACACACACACACACACACACACACACACACACACACACACACACACACACACACATAGCCATCTTTGGCAAAACCTGTTCCAGACATGCACTGGAAGAATCACTACGTAGAGAGCTGTGCCACATGGCACAGGGCAGAGAAGCATTCAGAACCATGGTATAGCTGTCAACCATCGGTTGTATGGCAACACCTAGACAGGAATTATAGTGCCGTGAAGTTGGGTCAGGCTCCCAAATTCTACATTGTCTCGTGGCTGACATTGTTGCTGATCTTGCTGTCATGTACTAGATGAGAATGCTTCACTTGACGACAATTCAACACGATTAGATCATTCTGCGTACATTGTCTACACAGCCACCACCGCTGCGCTACCACAGTTGCAATATGTGGCCTAACACACACACACACACACACACACACACACACACACACACACACACACGCACACACACGCACGCACACACACACACACACACTTCCCACAACAAGAGGTTCCTACTTCAATACGAATAGATCATCCAGCAATGGCCGAAACCACCCAAGGTTGGCTGAGCAGCGGGGCCCTGCCACCACTGTCCGCATTGATGCGGGAGCAGAGTGGACTTAGTAAAACATTTGGCTAAACTGCATCGCCTAACAGTGTAAATCCTCTTCATTTTCATGCACAGAAACTGGCGAACCCGCGTGAAATGGACTATACTCCGACCCAGACGTCACCGCTAGTGGACCGCGGCGTCATCAAGCCACCCTATACAAACGTGTACGTCGGAAAGGCGCCGGACATCGGGGCATACGAGTATGGTGGCGAGGTGTGGAAACCCGGCTGTGCAATCCACAAAGATTGCTGATGCACTAAACAATCATAGATCATGGCATGGTTCCTTGAAACAGGTATTCTCATTCTAAATACAAGGATAAACCTACTTTTCCCATGAACCTTCCAAGTTGGAAGGCTGTTGGTTTACGCACTGGATATGTGTCAGAGCTAGGTGCCAGGTCTTTGTCTCAGTAATCTGTCAGTGTTGTGCCTGGCTATCACACTTTCTGACTGCTTACTATCTAATTATACGGTGGTGGACAGTTACACATAACTCGTATCCATGTGTGCTTTTATATTTAAAAAGAAAGGACCAAAATGTTGCATGTTATCCGTAGGTTGTGTCCAACACTAACAGCTATAAGTTATTAGTGTTGGATATAACCTACGCCTAACATGTAACATTGATTTTGCTCCTTTCTTTTTAAATTTAATCCTTGGCTCTCCATCTGAATCTTGCTTTTATATATTACATCATTAAAATTAATAATAAATGTTATTGGCTGAATATCTGAGATGAATTTTGTTATTCTTCAAAAGTGCACGCTGTTCTCCATGTGCTGGCTGGTGCCCACGTACCCGGTGTCATGTCCATCGGTTCACTGACAGCTCAGAAGTACAGATCAGTGTGGCTTGCTTTATAGCCGCTTCATCGCTACATCACAAGTCAGTGTGTATTGTGTGAACATAGCATTTATCACGGGTCATCCATTATACAGTCGACTCCTGATATAACGAAAACCATTGTTCAGGAGAATTAGTTCTTTATAGCCCAAGTTCGTTATAACAGAAATGCACTCACACTATACAAGCAGCAGATCATGACTGACCCGTACGTGCCCCATGACATAATATGCCTGCACTTGGTTTACATGCAGCCCTACAAGATTTGGTTCGTTCTAAACGAAAACTGTTGGCTATAAAGAGTCAATTTTTATGTGTCGAAACAGGGATATGGGCAATGGTTCGCTATAATTATCACGAAATTCGCTATAATTATCACGAAATTCGCTATAATTATGCGAGTTCGTTATAAGTGTAGTCGACTGTACTAGTGACGGTGGAACCCGTCCTGGAGGGCACCCGGGAATTGAGAACACCTTTCTGCCTGTTCACCCGAAGATTCGGGCAGCCGGGAAATGGAGGCCGCGTGAATGGGATTCTCGATCGTTGACACCCATATCCCTGTAGATGGGTGTCTAATGTGCTCACTTCCAGCAGCTTCAGGAGCTTCATCTACGACTCCATTAGAGAGGTCAAGATGCACGTTATTTCTGACATGACGCGAATGTTCAGCTCGCGTTATTTGGCTCGCACGTCGAAAAATCAACGAACGCGAGTGACCTGCTGCTCACGTCGAAATTCGGAGTTTTACGCCAAATTTGACGTGAAATTGCGCGTCGCGTCGGAAATAACGACGTTACGTGCATCTTAAAAATAAAATAAATTTCACGGTTCGCGTGAGACTCGGCTGGAAGCCGAGTTTTCCGCATCCGCCGTGGGAACGCCACCACCCTCTAGGATCAAAGGCGCAGATGCAGCGCCTGAACGGTGGGAGGTGAGTAGATCAGACCCACCACCAAGTGGTCAAAGACCGAAATCCCATTAGCTGCATCCATGTTACCCTCGTGCCAGGCCACGAGTTCCCAATTAACTGTGGGTCGCAGCACGGCTGGAAAAAATCCTTCCGCTTCCAAGCAGGACTTGAACCTGGTACCCTCTGTTTCTCAATCCAGGTCTTAGACCATCCCACTATGCCTGCCTGCATTCCCACGTGCATCTTAACCTCTCTATTACTGCCAATTTCTTCAGCAGGGTGGTGTCCCTGCGGTTGAGGGACCCGAAGACAGTAACTGTAAATTGTTGATGGTACTGTAATCCTCAGATGTCAGCTAATGCATTTCCGCTCCACGTCACACGGGAATCGAGAGCCATCCACCCGGCACAGCAACTCCTCACTATTTAATAGAATAATATAACAATAAGAAGTAGATCAGGTTGATAGTGATGGAAGCAATGAGACACCGGCAAATGCCTGTCACCAGTAAGTGATGCACTGGTAGCAATGAAATCACTGCTGAAACTGTGTGCATGTACAGAATATTCAAAAGCGACACAAAATAATTATATCAATCTCGGTAAAAGGGAGTTTGAGCACTGTGCTGTCAAATATGATGTAAATATAGATTTAAAAACCCTTTCAATGCACAAGGCTGCAATCGTCTAGGTATAACGTAATACTTACACACACAACAGAGGCGAAAGGCTGTGTTAGCTGTAACTTAAAGTTTCACGCATCAGAGCGATCATCAGACAGCAGCATTCACACTGCTCTGTACATTCGTACATGGAGCACTCTACCTCGAGCTTCCAGGACCGGCCTTGTTTGTAAAGTAATACTTATAATGGTTTCTTTCTTTGTGAGGAACATACTATGCAAGTTCTTTGGTAGGTGTCCAAGCACTTCAGAAGTACAGGGCATCGGCTTGGGTTCACAGTATATCTCATCATGGACTCAAACTTGAAGTCTTTTAAAGGGGAAGTATACCCTAAAATCAAATTTTCACCAGTTGTAGTCTTCTGGGTGCTGAGTCGAATGGTCTTGGTCCGAGGAAGCTGAGACGCTCCCTTCCTACTTGAATCCCAATCGAACTCGCGCACTTCCACCGAAACTGGGTGACTGCGCCCTACTAGATGGGGATTTGTATGCAAAATGTCACTAAAAGTGCCATTTCGTTCTTATAAAAGCACGGATGACCGCGATTGGCCCATATGTTGTAGTCTTTTGGACGCTGAGTCGACTGGTTTTGGTCCGAAAAGGCTGCGATGCAGCGTTCCTCCTTTATTCCCAATCGAACATGGTTGAACAAGCGGTCACGTGCTCCTGCGTACACCAGTCACCTGGTCACCGTGCCTGCAGGGTACAACTTACTAGCCTGTTTGACCTTTTTTGGGTGCAGTCCTGTCACTCGAGTTGAACTCGAGTTGAACCTTGGTGTGAAAGTTGTCACCTGCTGGCGCGGTGACCAGGTGATTTGGGCACCCAGGAGCACGTGACCGCTTGTTCAACCATGTTCGATTGGGAATAAAGGAGGAACGCTGCATCGCAGCCTTTTCGGACCAAAACCAGTCGACTCAGCGTCCAAAAGACTACAACATATGGGCCAATCGCGGTCATCCGTGCTTTTATAAGAACGAAATGGCGCTTTTAGTGACATTTTGCATACAAATCCCCATCTAGTAGGGCGCAGTCACCCAGTTTCGGTGGAAGTGCGCGAGTTCGATTGGGATTCAAGTAGGAAGGGAGCGTCGCAGCTTCCTCGGACCAAGACCATTCGACTCAGCACCCAGAAGACTACAACTGGTGAAAATTTGATTTTAGGGTATACTTCCCCTTTAAAGCAGACTAAGAGCAAGTATCAGCTGTAACAGAGATTAGGTCAGACAACCGCGACAAGCAGTACGTAAACGGTTGGTCTAAACCAGTTCCTCTGAGCTTGGTCAATCATACCACCGTATACGTCCATCCCAAGCCACCGCACAAACACTGGGGGCAAAGGGCCGTTCAGCTGAGACTTGAAGTTTCCAGGGGAAGACTACCAGCTCTGTGTGTGTGTGTGTGTGTGTGTGTGTGTGTGTGTGTGTGTGTGTGTGTGTGTGTGATACCACCGCACAAACACTGGGGGCAAAGGGCCGTTCAGCTGAGACTTGAAGTTTCCAGGGGAAGACTACCAGCTCTGTGTGTGTGTGTGTGTGTGTGTGTGTGTGTGTGTGTGTGTGTGTGTGTGTGTGTGTGTGTGTGTGTGTGTGTGTGTGTGATACCACCGCACAAACACTGGGGGCAAAGGGCCATTCAGCTGAGACTTGAAGTTTCCAGGGGAAGACTACCAGCTCTGTGTGTGTGTGTGTGTGTGTGTGTGTGTGTGTGTGATACCACCGCACAAACACTGGGGGCAAAGGGCCGTTCAGCTGAGACTTGAAGTCTCCAAAGGAAGACTATCAGCTCTGTGTGTGTATCATACCACCGCACAAACACTGGGGGCAAAGGGCTGTTCAGCTGAGACTTGAAGTTTCCAGGGGAAAACTATCAGCTCTGTGTGTGTATCATACCACCGCACAAACACTGGGGGCAAAGGGCTGTTCAGGTGAGACTTGAAGTTTCCAGGGGAAAACTACCAGCTCTGTGTGTGTATCATACCACCGCACAAACACAGGGGGCAGAGGGCTGTTCAGGTGAGACTTGAAGTTTCCAGGGGAAAACTACCAGCTCTGTGTGTGTATCATACCACCGCACAAACACAGGGGGCAGAGGGCTGTTCAGCTGAGACTTGAAGTTTCCAGGGGAAGACTACCAGCTCTGTGTGTGTATCGTACCACCGCACAAACACTGGGGGAAAAAGGCTGTTCAGCTGAGACTTGAAGTTTCCAGGGGAAAACTACCAGCTATGTGTGTGTATCATACCACCGCACAAACACTGGGGACAAAGGGCTGTTCAGCTGAGACTTGAAGTTTCCAGGGGAAAACTACCAGCTCTGTGTGTGTATCATACCACCGCACAAACACTGGCGGCAAAGGGCTGTTCAGCTGAGACTTGAAGTTTCCAGGGGAAAACTACCAGCTCTGGGTGTGTATCATATACCACTATTCAAGTGCACACATACAGACCTTGATAATTTGTTGAAAAGTTTAAAAAATTCAAATGTGTTAAAAATTGAAGCCAGCATGGTTTGGATACACATGCGGCAATACTCTACTAGCACTGAACAATCAGGCAATGTTCTACTGCATGGCAAAGTAGTGGACCATCAGGCAATGTTCTACTGCATGGCATGTTTGCGTGCACTGAGGCCGCATTTCTCAGGCATGGCTAGCTGGTCTTCGGCACTGCTAGCCGCTCGAATCCCTGCTGCTCTCTGTTGCACCAGAACGTCAGAGTGCTCAGACCATCGCCAGAAGCCGCCCACAAGCTGCAGAACCCAGACATAAGCGGATACATTGCACAAACAATAGGCATCAGATCTGAGTCACAACGCTAGAACATGTCGAACGGTCGCTGTTCAGGGGATGGCGGCTATGCCATAGCTCAGTGGTGGGAGCATCGATGCTGGCCTATAGCGAAGGACCCTGGTTGAAGTACTGTTGTTGACAGCCTATTTTTCTTCAGACTTTTTCTATGTATTTTCAACCCCCTTAGGAGCCATCCGGAATTATTGATAATTTTCGCGAAACGAAAAAGTTTAGTTATGACCCTCCCCCACCCACCCACCCACCCACCCCCATGAACGAAAAATATTGAATTGATAGCTACTTCGAAGTATAATGGACTTATGTTTACGTTATCAATATAATTTTTTTCATAGCGAAGCTCTCCTCAACCCACCCACCCATGAACAAAACATTTTCTCTTCGTGAGAAAGATCGATAATTACGGATGGCCCTTTAACTGACGAGATATATACGGTATGACGGCAAATATATTTGAAATTGAGTTGGACTGAGTTTTCCGTATCCGTAGGAGCGCCGGCCGCCAACCTCTAGGATTTTGATGCAAATACAGTTTCTAAGCTGTGGGAGACGAGTAGGTTAGACCCACCACAAAGCGGTCAACGACTCAAATCATCCTAGCATCAATGTCATCCCAACCCCAACGCCAAGTCACGAGCTGCCATTGAACTGTGGGTTGCAACACGGGTGGAAATCCTGCCACTTTCAAGCAGGACTTGAACCTGCAGGCTGCATTACAATAGAACAGAGTGAAGGTTCAACATAGCAGGCAACAGTACGGCTGCATACCGATTGTGGCCAGTTGATAGTGCCAAGGCAGGACTTGTCAACTTGACCATCCGCTCCTTCACCGCACCAGAACTGTGGACACATTACAGGCAGAGAAGAGCGGAGAGTGTCAGGCTGCATGCCACAGAAACGGCACTGTATCCTGACCATCCCCAGACTACCAGCATGCACAACCACACCGGAATCAGGACCAGATTCTGCACAGAGCTGCATTGCTTTTTTGGCAGACGGATATCTGAAACCTGTATTCCTTTTCAGACAGATACCGAAAGCTAAGCGAGGCAAACTTTTAAAATCAATACACTACACAGAATATTTACTCAATGAAAATACCCCCATGACATCTTTCACCTTTCTCCAATCCTCGTTCTGCACAAAAACTCTGCAGCGTGAAGGGAACATGATGTATCATTTCAAATCAAGACGCTTTCGTTGTTCAATCTGCAGCACCTCGGAACCAGGTGATCTCGAGAATTTCAATGCAAAACAGAGCTTCACTAAAGTGTATAGATACCAGGAATGCACATGTAGACACTAGGTGGCTGGGAAGTTAGAACCACTTGAAATGGACTGCAGACTATGCCCCTACAGGTGGACTGACCTGGCGTCCACGAGCAGCAGATGTCCATCGGCGCAGCCAGCTGCAAGAATGCCGTCAGCAGGCGTCGCCAGCCATGTCACCGAAAGCAGACTCGGCAAGGTGTACATCTGGTAAGTGCGAGAGACACCGCAAGGATCATTGGCATGATGCCAGAGCATCATCATCGAGTCCCCAGAGCTCAACCCAGCTAAAGGAATACCGGACTGTGATTGTTGTCACCCCCCCCCCCCCCCCCCCCAGATAGTGTTCAGTTACTTAACCCTTTCAGTGCCAAGGGGGTCAGAAAAATTCAAATTTTTCTGAGTTGAGCCGAACTCAAATTTTTCATAGCTCAGCTGTATATCCACAGATCTTTACAAACGATGGCTCTCTGGAAAGATAATTATCATGGCCAGGCAGACAGCTGTGAAGAGAAAATGCAGCGAAAATAGTCTTCCTCGCGAGGGCGCCTGAGCGAAGTCCGTTTTCTGCATTTTCGTAGCATCTGCACTTTCTCACGCGCGCGATCGATCGCAGTGCAGTCAACTTTCAACGCACGAAATTCGGACAAAGTTGGCCCGAAAGCCACTGAAAATCTCGATGTTTTGATACCCAATACGCATGGGTTGCCGCGAAAGAAATAGAGAAACCCGCGATGCACATACGTCATGTTTTCTACGCGCGACAATTGTTTGTCCGAGCGCGTGCACTTCAGGCTTCGCCCTGGCGATATCTATCCCCACGGACACAAAGCGATGTGATGAGTCGATAGCCAAGGTCTTCCTGAACACATAGAGCTGTCGTTTGTAACTCTCCTGTGTGTGGAAGTGGAGATACGATTTTATTTGTACACACATACTCATTCTGGGCGACTAAAGTCGCCCGTGGCACTGAGAGGGTTAAGTGAAGTTCGAACACACCTTGCTGATATGCCCCATTGAACAATTTGTGCTAAGAGTGCTGCGATAGCATGGAGAAATTTGTTTACAACTCCGCAACGTAGATAGCAGTGTATGTGTGCAGGCATAGGATCACAGACCAACCAGACTAACCGTGCTTGGTATACGCAGATTGGGATCAGCAGCAATGCTTCGCAGTTGCACCACCGCACCATCTTTCATGAAGCAAGTTGTCTTCCCTGGTAATCCGACAGCAACACCCAGTGCAGAGAGAATGTAAATGACGGATAGTAAAACAAAATGTACCTGGCAAACCGTATCATGAACTTTGACCTGTGAATGCACGTGATATGCAGACGTAAATGCATACACAAACACACTCAGACTCAGACATGCCCATCCTTGAAGCGATGATAGCGAACAGCTATGTTAGACATAGCAACTTGTGCTTGGGATTACACCATTCAACAGCTTGCAAGGCTGATGAATTGACCGCCACTAATTTTAGCCTGGTATCCACCACACAGCTGATTGAAGTGGCTTTTTCTGGCCAGTGACTCCCTATTTTTCATTTTGTCCATGTTGTCCATTTTTTTACACACACGCCACACCACATACTCCGGCATACACTGGCTGTTGGTAACCATCCGGGAGAATGAAAGAAGAGCTAGGAGAATGAGAAAGAGAAGAAAGACGTGTGCGACCATAATCGTCGGGAACTGAACGCGCAACCTCTCGATTGGAAATCGACTGCACATACCACTGCACCATATGGGACACAAATACACACACACACACACACACCATTGGACCATTGGATGCCCATCGCCGGAGGCGATGATAGCGATGCTACAGCAGAAGCCATAGCAGCTTGTTGGGATTGCACCATTCAACAGCTTGCAAGGCTGAAGAATTGACCGCCACTATTCAGCCTGGTCTACACCACAAAGCTATGAAGTGGCTTTTTCTGGCCAGTGAATCCCTACTTTTTGGTCTTTTTTATTTGATTTTTTATTTGATTTTTTCCCGCATACACATCACACCACACACACACACACACACACACACACACACACACACACACACACACACACACACACACACACGCACGCACACACACACACACACGCACACACACATATATAATATGTGTGATGCAGGAGAAGAGGCTGATAAGTGATAACCATGAACCTGAGGGGGATTTCCCTAAAAAAGAGACGTATGGATTGAAGACTTGAGACTGGGGAGTACTTTCATATGTATATCACAGGTTAACCTTGAAGCTTATATAATATATAAGCTTCAAGGTTAACCTGTGATATACATATGAAAGCACTCCCCAGCATATGTATATCACAGGTTAACCTTGAAGCTTATATAATATATAAGCTTCAAGGTTAACCTGTGATATACATATGAAAGCACTCCCCAGTCTCAAGTCTTCAATCCATACGTCTCTTTTTTAGGGAAATCCCCCTCAGGTTCATGGTTATCACTTATCAGCCTCTTCTCCTGCATCTCCAGTAGATTCGAATCCCAGTGTCTGTTACTTACCATTGACCAGTAGAACCTGCATGATGGTGCCAGTGAGGCTCGGCAAGCCAAAGAAGTCAACCACCGTGGCCGGGCTGTCCTGCACTGAGTCACCGGACAGCCGCACTAGCCACCTGCCACTGCTCTCCGCATTGGGACTGGAAACGATGATTAGAGTGTCCGAACCGACAGCATAGATCTGGACGCTGTAAGAAAGCATGCAGCAAGAGTACAAACACACACACACACACACACACACACACACAAACACACAAACACACAAACACACACACACAAACACACACAAACACACACACACACACACATACACACACAAACACACACACACACACACACATACACACACACACCAGTGAGCGACACTGCCTCCACAAACACACCTCGGTCTCGGAGTGTTTTCTACCGGGAAATGCGCACATGCGTGGATGTGATTGCTAACACAAGTGCATAGACATGTACCACCAGGACACAGCACACCTACCTGCCTTCCAAGGGGCATGCCAGTGCGTGAGTGGTTCTCTTGACATCCTGCAGCACGCTGCTCTCGGCAACGTGAGCACTGCATAATCTAAGGTCAGTACAGGAAACAAGAGTAGGGGAATTCCCTACCAGCAGATTAACGGGATGGAGACTAGTGGAGATTTGTACACCTTCCTTCCAATGTGGATGGTTTGCTGCTAAACACAGGATGGAGAATTTAGTACGTTGCTTGCATGAGACAGTGACAGTGTTGCTACTGCTCCATATGCAATCCACTTGCAATACCTACTCGTAGACAATGCTGTTAGTGGTGCAATTTGCGTTTCGATGATATGGCCGGCAGCCCCCCACCCCTCTCCACCCCCTCCCGTCTAACCAGACACAATGGGACTGGGCGAGCACAAGCCAGGTCATACATGTATGTTGTGCAGCTTGCAACATGTATTATCAAGATATAAATCTGCTCAAGTGTCCGCAACTCTGGATATGTGGTCTCCGGCTGAGAACCACACACTCGCGTGTTCCACGTCCCGTTCGCATATGTTTCCTGCTGCGTGCAACGAAGGTCAATGTGGACTCAGTGTGGGCATCTGGCTTGACACCCACCAGCTGTGTGGCTTTCTGTCCTGGAGTGCTACTTTTTACTACTCTACGGTTTACAGTATTGCTTGCTCTATTGCTTGCTAAATCATGCTGTACACGTGGAACGTGAACACTGCGCCAGGTGATGTGAGTTGCAGTCGGTCTCAGTAAACCCATGCAGCGTTGCACACTCGAAGCTTAGGGTTCATATTCTCTTGATTTTATTGTACATTTGTCACAGCACACAAAGTATGAAATTGTGTTGGCGACTTAGTAGAGGACGTGTGTGCATTATTGTGCAGCGGGGTTGTTTCATTCCATCCGTCATTCAGGCTGTGAATGATTTCCTGAGCTATGCAGTTGTCCACACTGCAGTATTTTCTACAGCTGCCCAAGCAATGAAGTAAATTAAAAAGTAAATAATCGCATCCGTCCGTTCGCGAAGGGAACTCCGCTGCCCACGCAATGCATGATTGTAAAAAATATAATAAAAAAGTCACGGTTCACGTTAGATTCGCAGTTTTCTGCATGATTTTAAGCATCTCTAGAATTGGCCTCTCACATGATAAGCTTGGTTCGCGTTACTAGGCAGAGAGTAAAAGCAGTGTCGGAACGCCTCAAGCGAGTTGCGCCTAGGATACGTGGCTCGGCTTCCATGTCAATCTCCTCCATAACTGACAAATCCTCTGCGTTCATGATTGACCTGTGAAGGAGAAGAGAACGGGTTGGCGTGCGTGAGAGATAGTCTGCATGAACGGTTGACAGTAATGTGCATACAGAGAGGATGTATGGCTATGAGTATGAATCGTCTGATGCTGCCACGTTCAACCAAGCTGGGACAAATTCAAATTTTCAAACTCCGGAATAGAGTAGATCTCTGGTGTGCCCATGGTTTCCAGAAAATAATGAAACGCTGCATGCTTAGGTAGTCATGGGATATGCGTACTACTTCCGGCAACATAATTCACATTCTGAGGAGTCACAGTGCTCAAGAATTTTGATTCAAGGGAACAAAAACACTGGAAGGCAATGAGAGCCTCTTTAAAGTATGTGCACTATTCTACAAGAGGAATTGGCGCCGTTTGAGTCTCCCCCGAAGTGGCTATCGCTCGATTCTTCGGAGCTCAATTCGCAGAACTGACAGGTCGACTGAATTCACACACTTTTTTAGTTCCCAGAGGAAGTATTCTCCACCGGTGTATTGTTGATCAGGCATGCACCACACGGACACGGACACGTCACAACACTTTACCAGTGCTGCTAATTACCACTTACACCTACCATTTCTCGCTGCTGACTACCGATATAGACTGTGTGTTGCCGCTGCGGATCACGTCCATGCACAGCGGCTTTCCAATCAAGGTGTGCGTGTGTGTGCACTTGACGTCGGCCAGGTTCCACTTGGTGACTTCACCTGGAAACAGTCCGCAAATGAAATGCAACCAAAAATGGATTGATTGCATCTGAAATACAACCTATAACGGATCGCTTGCCTCTGAGGGAACATACAATTCAGGAGAGGAACACTGGAACTTCACAGCATGTCCACGTGTCTGAAATGAAACCTGAAACGGATCGCTTGCCTCTAAGGAACATGCAATTCAGGAGTGGAACACTAGAACTTCACAGCATGTCCACATAAGAATGCAGTGGACTGAAATGTCACAAGTTTCGCAAGCAATAAACAAGTCGTACTGTTAGCATTGTGTTGCCTGGGCATGCCGAAGACTGCGAATAGTATGCCAGCTATAGGACTATTCCACAGAATACGGATAGTCAGATACACAAGAGAGATTGGAAGCTTTGTCACAACTCTGAGTTTTACGTATTACTACGATCATCAGGCAATAGTCAGATAGTCAGATAGTCAGATACATTGTGAGTGAACTCAGGATAGTGGATCATCACCCTAAAGCCAACCGTCTCTGCTTACCAGAGGACATGCATGCCATAGAGTTCTTGCTCAGCGGGCACAATGACATGCCGTCCGGGATTTTACGCTGCTCGAGTTGACGACGTCCGTTCTTCAGATGCTGGATGAGAAACCTGTTGACAAAAGCCAAGCAGTGCATGTACAAGTAAAAAATATAGGTATGTAATCTGTCATGACCAACCCACTAAAATTCAATGTGCTTAAAACAGTTTTAAAATCAAGGCGTGTGAATTGGTCAATAGCGCTTTTGACGTGCTGCAAAACTGACTCATTTGCACGATGACGGTAGTAGAGTAAGCAGATAGCTACGCTCAAAAGCTCTAATTCGACCTAAGAAAGTAAGATGGATCATGAAATAGTCCAGGTCTGGCAGCAATAGAGTGCCCAAAAACAACTGGCTGGAGAGAGGGGGGGGGGGGGGGGAGATTAGTCAGCACCTAGTTGCTGTTAGTGCAGCACATTGCCCAGCTAAACACATGGGTAGTACTGGATTAAGCACACACGGAGACCCCCAGTTACAGGCCAGGTGCGGGTTTAAAATAGAGGACATCATGACGTGGAACACCAGGACAACTATATTGTGTGGCTTGCCTTATACTCAGTATAATTATTGTGTGGCAATGTGGCAATGTGGCGGCAGTGCTCCCTTGCTCAAAGCAGAACACAACTAAAACATGTACGATGGTCAGTTGTGTGCACTGAAGTGCTAGAATCAACGGGGATTGACACCCGTATACACACGGCCTGGATTCAGTGCCCATTTACGACTATCTCGCTCTCTCTCTCTCAGTAAAGGATGCTGTCAAAGTTAAAGGGCGTTGCGGGAATTCACCGCCACCCGTACCTGTTTCCTGTTTCGTCAATCCACTCCGTCCGATGTCGGTGCGGTGGAGGCCAGTCGAACGGTGCAGGTCTCTTGGGGATAGCGGCCGAGAGCACTGTCGTCTTTGGAGTGGATGCATGGTGCGTACTCCTGGGCGTCACAATCATGCTTGTTCCAAAGCCACTGGACCTGCAAGCAACGAGGGGAGACACAGTCGGGAGCAGGTTCAGAATTTTTGTCTATACGTACCCGCAGAGGCAGTGCACTTTAACTTGTTAGAGTGCACAATACATGGGCTGGGTAGAGCCCAGTGCACATGACCTTACATTCCGCTGTGTAAGTATCTCTTTTTTTTTGTATATAATCCACTCACACGTGCAGTATGCACTTGTAACTATATCCACTTTACGGCAGCAATTGCATTATCATACTGCCCCAGGGCATGCTCTTGTTCAAGGCTTTCCCCAACCTGCTTGTTCGGGCTGAGTGTTTGTGTGCATGAGGATTAAGACACAAGAATGGTGGAAATCGTTTCCAGTAGGTACACCATCGGAGAAAGAACTGATCCATGAATACAAAATGTGGATCTCATTAAACAAGCTGCGTTTTCGGCAGGTTGGCAAGCATGTCTACCGACGAAGCAGAAAATAGCCAAATGCCCATCGCACGGATAAGTGACAGTGGCCGGTACTGTAAGCACAACCTAAGCCACCTGCACAGACAAATAGTCATAATTGTTATCATAACGTCATCAAGTAGCGGCTGCACTGTGTTATCATAATATTATAACTCAGCCTCCAGCTGAGCCTCATACGAACCGTGACTGTTTTAATATGTTATCATACTCATTGTCAATCTGCGGACAGAACTGTTTCGTCCTTTGTGGACTCATCAGCGCAGCACAGAGAGAATGAGGCTGAACCTGATAGCAATGAAAAATAAATTTCCAAAGCCAGATTTAAACCAGGCCCGGACGTATATTTTATCATACAAGGTCATCATTTTCACACCTTCACTTACTACTTCGAAGTACTTGGGGGCCTTTCTATGTGGCTGCTATTTGCTTCCTGATCTATTTACTGTGCAGGCGGCATGTGAGGCGAGAGCAGTCTTACCGGTCGTGTGAGCGATCGCAGCGCAGGAATGTCACTCCGTTCTCCTTGGCGAGGCGCTCCCACTTGCGTGACACCGTACTGAGGCTGGTGTTCCAAGCGCCGGCTAGCATACTGGGATACTGAACAGGAAGATCACCATAGGATGCAAGGAGAGCAGCTTGAAGTGGCAGGGCTGTCAGGGCAGCATGCACACAGCTACATGTACTTCCCGTCAACATTCCGGCGACTTTGTGATCTCAGTAAGTGTGTTTCGAACAAACACAAGGACTTGCTGAGGAGTGAGAAAGAGAGAGAGAGAGAGAGAGAGAGAGAGAGAGAGAGAGAGAGAGACTGAGAGAGAGAGATAGAGAGAGAGAGAGACAGACAGACAGAGGGAGAGAGAGAGAGAGAGACTGTGACAGGCAGACAGAGAGACAGATGAAGAACGACCAAGATACAGAGATGAGGGAAAGCTTGTACCTTAGAGATATGAGATGGGGAGAGTATTTCCACTGGGTTGACAATCAGGAAAGGTTTGTGTGCAAGTGCCTGCAGGAATTAACAAAGGAAACACACGAGCTATATGTACATCATTATTATTACACCTTCCAGTGGCTAAAGATGAACCAGTGTCAATATAGATAAGGAGGGGGCGTTTGCCAGCCATGGCGTAGAAAGAAAGTATAATAAGTGTGGTGGTGCATAGCAACGATGGTATGCAAGATATATTCCCCAGGGGCAAATCATGATCATTGTTGCCTCCTCGAAGTCACTCAACATTATACTTCTAAACAAGAGAAGAAGTAAAACGAAACTTTTGTTTTGACAACGAAATGTGACAGAATTGCCCCACTCCCAGGCACACCCTGAACCAGCCAGGCTATGCCACTAGACCATCCAGGCTATGCCACTGAACCATCCAGGCTATGCCACTGAACCAGCCAGGCTATGCCACTGGACCATCCAGGCTATGCCACTGAACCATCCAGGCTATGCCACTGAACCAGCCAGGCTATGCCACTGAACCAGCCAGGCTATGCCACTGAACCAGCCAGGCTATGCCACTGAACCAGCCAGGCTATGCCACTGAACCAGCCAGGCTATGCCACTGGATCTTATCCAGACATTACCCGCAGTTACAGTTACTATCTGGTGTTGAAGAGTTGGGGCCACAGAGTCGTAGCCTAGGCCATTCTTACTGTTTCATGTCAAACTCACGGTCTACACACTTTCTATGCGGTTGAGCCACCACGTACACAAGGTATCCTGTACATAGCAACATGAAAATTCTAGCTTTTTCATTCTTCGGCCCCCGGTAGTACTATAGGCCATAAAGCACATGTGTTGAAGCCATTGGAGGTAAGTTATTGGATTGTCTTACAAGCACGCTTTGTGCTGCAACTCGTTACTGAATATCAAAGTTGATGTCTTTCCCATCCCTGCACCCAACCCATGCGATGCAGGGATGGTGAAGACATTACAACTTTGACATTCAGTAACACTCCTCAGTACTGATTTGTATAGTCCTGTATCTACGTGTGTATTACGCTTGCGTGTTGGCTTGCCGGTGTACCACACATTCCAGACCAAAGTCACAACTGGTATTTCACTCAGTGCTTCCGTGGGTTACATGCGACCTCACCCACATAACTGTTACAAAACAGTAACACAGCAATGGCCTAGGCAATACGCAATCGGCCTCTGGCACGGCATCTGGTGCATGGGAGCCTCACACACGCTTGCCATACGCGGTACACACATGGAAAAAAGGCGCTGTACGCAAGGCCGAATGCGTCGCTGCTCGGTGCTGTGCTTTTTAACGATGATAAGGGCTGTTTAAAAAAAATATTCACTGGTCGAGGGAATTTTTATATTTCGCATATCTGAACGGGAGTTTCTTCCCAATACGGGGGTAGCAAAGAGACAGGGTATAGGAGAGGGAAGAGGTGTATGTGTGAAATTCGTGTGCTTACTTCCTGCAGTACGTCTTGGTGCTCTATGTCGTGGCAAATCAGGACGACAACGCGACCGAACGGCAGGTCGAGCACGCATTCCTCCGTGCCGCTTTCGATGTTGCCGAGGACTTTGCGCTTCCGGTAGCTGGCCAGCTGGGTGCCTTGCGCATCCACCACAACGCATGTGTTGTATATCTATGCGCAGCAGTCACGACGCAGTGAGAAACAGCTCATACGTCAATGAAGGCACTGCTTGGACAAGAAAGCCTAGTATATATCTGTGATGGTTGCATTCAATTTCATATAATTTATGTGTAGACTGTGACGGTAGAGGAGAGAAAGAATGAGACAGATGGCTTCCAATAGCTTTGAAGAAACCCATAGGGTGTAACAGTGTGTCGCTCTTGGCCATAGAAAATGTAAGGAACGATTTTACAAAACACGAGTGACCGATTTGGGACTGCATGCAACAATTTGCAGAGTAGTGGGATATGTCGTCACCAGTCAACCACAATGGTCTGGTGTTCATCAGAAGGCTCTCGCACTATTCGTCAAGTCACGGATGAAAATGGCGCATGCCTTGGTGTCATGCAGTGGCACTCATGCCTTGCGCGCTAGTGACTGTACCTATTCACTCGCGTGATTATTCACACACTCACTTGCTTTGTTTCGCAGCCACGTCTTCTCCATTCCCCATTTCACTTGCATAAAACGTTATCTTCTATTTCAGAACACCTTTTGCCTGGCCATGCGTACCCCCTTACCTTGCCGCTGGCTGTGCGCTCACACATGGATCCTAGAATGCCGACAATGCCATGCTTGGCTGCCAGGGCCGAGAGCTGTGCCAGGGTACCGTGCTTCTCCACTGATGGCACGCCGGGCTCAGACACACACGACTCTGGCAGCAGGAAGAGATCACCCGCCCGGCCTGTCGCTGTTGCCTCCTATAACCAAAGACCAGCATTTGCAGCAACATGATTTCAGCATACAGAGAATGGCATGGATAGGAAACATTGTCAAGGGGGTCCAGCTGTTTTAAAGTTTTGAAATGCTCACTGCAAACTGGCACTAACATATTTGGACTTACCTCACTGTCATTTTGTCCAACGAGTAACCAAGGTCGGACCTTGCTCAAACTTGTCATCTTGTTTCTGTTGGGGTGGGTGCAGAACTCGGGTGTGGGTACAATAACCTGGGTGGGCGTACAAAACCTGGGTGGGGGTACAAAAACCTGGGTAGGCTCGGTAGGGAGTTCTGGTAGAAGAGTGAGCTGGAAGAACACTGCAACATGACACCTACGTCGTTTGTGGATCGCACCTGCAGACAAACTGCTGCAATCCGGCGACATAGGTGAGATGGAAATTCCGCTGCATCACGGTAGGTGATGGCTTAAACAAACCTGTCTTGCTTAGGATGATTGCATGAATGGGACCTTTTGGTTTCTGAAAATCTGTGTGCTTACCAAGCTAGGGCGCTGGCTTATAAAGCGTTGGATTAACGCGGACACCGGCCGTATCATGTGCACTGGTACTGTAAATATACAAATTTTCGGCAGCTATTTAATTTCGGCTATATTCGGCACCGACCCAAAACGCCTAAATTAAAACGCCGATGAAATTTTTCACAGCATCTGTCGCACTATAGTCTATACCATGCCCTCTACCCCACGCCGAAAATAAATCGCCGCCGAAATGTGAAAAATCGTGAAGTGCCGAAATTTTGCAGCGCCGAAATTTTGTATATTTACAGTACCCGGGTAATCAACTTAATGATGAGCACATGGAGAGCGTAACCCATGCATGCATGCATGAGACTGGCGTCCGTCGCCCACCTGAGTCAGCACGCTGTCCACGTGGGCCAGCAGATCCGCGTCACTGCCTGTCTGTGCTGTCTGCAGCAGGAGCACCTTGACGTCATCCCTGTCAGCTGTAAACAACGACATGCATACGCATGGAGACCATGACAATGCAGACATGGAAGCCATCACAACGCAATCATGGAAACCATGACAGTACCGAAATGGCACTTTGTATGGTGAGGTAGCATCATGTACTCAATAATCACTGTGGTTAAAACCAAGAGACCGGTCCGCCAGGTACCGAACAATGTTTCCGGACATATCCCCTGGACGTTTAGCACAGCTGTCATTATACTCAACTTCATGTAAAACATAGGACTGAGCTAGCACAGTGGGCCCGATTCGTAGTCAAGTGCTGGAGGGGGGGGGGGGGGGCATTAATAGTCTAATATTTTGCCAAGTTTAATGTTGTAAGAAAGCGACATGGTGGCATGGATCATGGTGGCATTCTGAAGGAGGGCGGTGGCATTGTGTTAGAGAGTGATCGCCGGTGGTGAATGCGAGAGCTACCTGAAAGTGAGGGCAGTGATAGGTGTGGCGATGACATGGCAGTGTCGAGCAGTTCCCGTGTGACTGACTGGACCTCCTGGCAATGCACACAGGCACGCATGAGTTATGGAATTAGAGAAAGACAGCTGACATTGGTGTGAGTCTACTAGCAAGGATATGCCCACAGCTACATGCGTGATCGAGCTCTTCAAGCCGCTGAGTCCCGGTAACGTGAATGATGAGTCTTTTCTTTCCTTCTCCGATCCAACTGCAAGTGTCGAGTTTTCGGAGAGAAAGGAGCAGTACCATTAGGGGGGCCGTATTTCCCTCAGCAGCCGGTGTGGTGCTATTTCAGAGCCAAGCCCAGTACGGTATGCAGCAAGTAGACCTAGAGGCGTCACAATGGCCGTGAAGCATGTGCACATCATTTGCGGCACAGTGAACACCAGTCCAGAAACCATTAACCAGTGCTCGGGATGGCTCCACGGAACGAAACGTTACACGTACCATGACAGCCACGGGCGGGCAAAGAACGTGCCGCAGCTGATGAACAAGTTGCCGTAAAAGCTTACTCTACTTTCAGAAATGTTAGGTGCTCAAAATGTGAGGTATGCGGGTAAAGAACCCATGTAGGTGAACAGAAATTTTAGAAATAGATAAGCAGTTCCCAACTGGATAATGCGTGTGACTGACAGGTGTTCGTGAGGCCATTTTGGGTACGACAAGATGCACCGAAAGAACAAAAATAAAAGCACACCGAAACGTTGTGAAATCACGGTATACTGGTGTCTGATGATCGCCTCCCTCGTGCATGAACCGGTTACCGCGGAGTTACAACAAAATCTTCAGTCCCTTCTTCTTGTTGTAGCTTATACTCAAGTGTTTTCATAGCACCTAGTACTCAAGTTACCATGCTCCACTAACCTTCAGGAAATCAAGGTTGATCATTTTCATTCCAGACTCCCACACATTGCCCCAGTCCATTGACGCCTGGACATGGGCCAGAGGAAATTCACCAAGATCACCATTCTCACTCAAGGTACATTGTATTGTGCTATGCATGTTATACAGCTTAAACATGTCTCATTGGGTTGATGGGCCAAGACTCTATGGTACAGCCAACCGTCTCCGTATGATTCCATCACACAAGAATGTATGCACCCCCCCCCCCCCCCCACACACACACACAAAGCACAAGTGCATCCCGTATAGATAAACAAAGGGTCCAGAGGACAAATTATAAATCTGTCACTACTCCCAGTTTCTTGCAACAAAGCAATCACCAGGAGTCTACATCACTTATCGAGGTAGATGAAAACATTGGCTACGGGTGCTGGAGGAAAGCATGGATGCGGTGAATGGGATTCTCGGTCTTTGACCACTTTGGTGGGTCTGATCTCCTCACCTCCCACCGCTTTAGGAGCTGCATCTGGGCTTTGATCCTTGAAGGGTGGTGGCGTTCCTACGGATGCGGAAAACTCGGCCGCTAGCCGGGTCTGACGCGAGCTGTGAATACAGTTAACTTCGCGTACAACGACACTGGGCGGGGCATCAGGAAAGTGTCCTTATTCGCGAAGTGTCCTTATACCCGCAGTCTCATTAAATGTATTACAGTTAGATGGGACTTTGCTCTGGGCATGCAAATTCTGTCGTTATTCGCGAATTGTTGTTATATCCGCAGTCGTTATTAGCCAAGTTGACTGTATACACATCTGTCCACAGATTGAGCACATGTACATAAATTTTTTTGCAGGTGCTGAGGACAAGTGTAAATATACAATATTTCCGCAGCTATTTAATTCCGGCTATATTCAGCACCGACCCAAAGCGCCGAAATTAAAACTCTGATGAATGTTTTCAAATCGGCTTCGGTGATGCACTAGTATCAACCCTGTGCCGAAAAAAATCGCTGCCGAAATGTCGAAAATCGTGAAATTCCGAAATTTTGTATTTCGAAGCATATTTACAGTACTCGGGCACTGGTAGCTCACCTGTACCATCTTGTCCAGCTTGGCCCTTTGCTCGCCAAAGTCCAGGGCAGCTGCTCTCTGCAGCCCAGAGAGTAAGCCGTGCCGGATGTAGGTGCATGCAGTGCGTTGATCCGCCACCGTGTACCCGGTGAACATCTGCATAAGCAAGGAACCATGCAAGTCAAATTGCACATTTGTATTAATCTCAAGCGAAATGTGAATTTTTCAGTTAGTGCCAGAGTGCTTGATACCGTAAGCGCAGAGCTAAACGACACAAGTTTGCAATGGAGAAAGGCTATCGTTTTGTTGTGTTCTGATGATTGGCCGGATAGCCATGACACTCTGAGTAACAATAGCAATATAGCCTTGATCCAATGCAAACATGCGTACACAAGCAATGATGTATGTACATGAACAGCAGCAGAAGACAGGTACTGTAAAATTTAATCTACAAATTTTCGGCCGCATCAATTTTCGGCCTCCCAGGGCTAAAACCCATTTTGGCCGCATCAAATTTTCGGCCTGTATTGCTGCCGCCTGTATAAACTGTCACACTGAACCTTGCATAACAAAATTTCGGCCCCAAAAAACTTAGGCCAAGCATGACCAGGCCGAAAATAGCCACATTTTCGGCCGCATCAATTTTTGGCCTCCCAGGGCTAAAACCCATTTTGGCCGCATCAAATTTTCGGCCTATATTGCTGCCGCTTGTATAAACTGTCACACTGAACCTTGCATAACAAAATTTCGGCCCCAAAAAAACTTAGGCCAAGCATGACCAGGCCGAAAATAGCCGAAAATAGATCTGCGCCGAATACTTGTTGACTTACAATATTTGTGAGCTCTGTGTTTAAAAGGTGGACGCTAGTATGAACAGTGTAGATCCATTGCAGATGTGCAATTGGACCATGAACCGCAAAAAAACACCTGATATTCATGCAGGCCCGGCGGAACCGGTCCGGTTGCTCTGGCCATGGCCGGACCAACTTGTTAGCCACCGGCGTGAGTTTACTGCTGAGGAGGTCCTGTGCATAATACCCACCATATCATACCAAAAAGGGTATTGTATGGCCCGACCAATCAAAAACTGCTTCCACCGGTCCTGAGTCATGTACTTAACTAGGTATACAGCGAGGCCTACTTTGGTACAGTCAGATAGTCGACAAGCAGATTGTCTTCATCGACCGTGCTGCGACAAAGGTGTTGTAACAGGTCAATGGAGACAACCTGCTTGTAAGAAATGGCCGGGTGAAAGACAGTAAGAGGTCTATACTACAGCACAACGGCACGGAGGCAGCGCCTCCACGGTGGAACATGACAAGGCGAGACAACAATATCAATCTGCGGTCTCGGCGTCAGTGTGAACTGCATCGAAGGTTGTTGGCTAAGCTTTTGAATGAATGGACAAGTTTGATAGTGCTCGCCATGTTGCAAAACGTCTACTACACTGAAGCAGTTCTATTACATATTACCTTGATCTGATCAAGAACGACTCCGAGTGACTGCGTTGGGTCTTCCGCTTCAATAACGCTCTGGTGCACACACACACAGAGACAGAGACGGAAACAAGTAAAAAAAATGAAGCACGCATGATCCCACTGTGACAGTGTGTGATTTAAAACGAGTTCTCAGATTCCAAGCAGATAATGCCTTCTTGTCTTCTTGTGTACCTACAGTAGGAATGAGACCTGGTCAATATTGGGGGTGTACTCACCCCGACCTGGTCAGTATTCGGGGTGTACTCACCCCGACCTGGTCAGTATTCAGGGTGTACTCGCCCCGACCTCGTGAATGTTCGGGGTGTACTCACCCCAACGGTGAACCTGGTATATATCCGGGGAGGGGAGGGGGGGGGGGGGTGCCACCCACCCCGGCCTTTTTGTCAGGATGCAAGTATATCAAGAAAGCATATACAGGAGTGTCGGAAGGCATTCTAGTGTGGTACGGTCAGCCATCTGAAGTACAAGTTACTCATGGGGGAGGGTGGCTGAGCCGAAAAGTTTGGGAATTTAGAGTCCAGATCAGTGTATTTTATTGGTTCATGGGGTACCTGGGGCAAAAAGTGGTACGGTCAATACCGTAGTGACCGTACCGTGTCCGACGCCCCTGATATCAATAAAGTGTGAACGCTGGACACGGTGTGCTGCTTTGAGAATGTTCCTGCAGCTTCTCAGTTTTACACCTTGCCTAGTTTCCCATAATATACCGTATAAATATTAGCCACGTGAAATACAATATCCTATTCAGTAGCACCTTCTCTGACGAGCTTTTAGTAGGCGAAACAGCTTTCAGAAGGATTATTATCAGTAACAATACTTGAAGCACCCGTAACCCCTTCCTTGTTTATTGGCGAGTGTAATGGGGTCGTTTTGTTTCGGCACTTGTGCCAGTGGTTGTGAGACTTATCCACTCACCCCCACCGTTAGGCGCTGCATCTGCCGCTAGGGTTTATCGGGTGTTAGCGGCCGTCGTGAGTTCCCTTCGGGAACGGACACGATACTTTCCTTTTTTTTCCTTTTTTTTAATAGCTACCGAGGGTAGTCATGTGTTGGCAGAGAGAGCGCATAGAGGAGAAGAGGAGGAGAGGGTGTTGCATGAAAGCATACTTCACTAAATTAATACTTGCTACACGCAGTACTGAAATTTCCATGTTTATGAGTTTGATAGCACCACACCTTGAGGAAACTGCGAAGCTTGCCAATGTACTTCGCCACTCCTGTCGCAAACGTGTGAGGGTTGATGGAGGTGAGAGCCTGCAATGAATAGCACAAAGGAAAGTGACATGTGTGATTCAGGCCAGCCAGGGTTGTGTCGCTGCTTGCTCAATGCTAACATGCAGATTTTTCGACAAAGAGGCCGCTATTAAACTGATGGTTCACCCTCCACATACGCTAGCATGCAGAAAATAAATAGACAACGAAGGCAACAGCACACACATGCAGGGTTAGGGTTATATCGGCATACCAAAAAGCATGAAAACATTGTTGTTCGTGTTGCTCGGAGGAATTCTCTCTCCGACCAGGTTACCTCTATGCTAGGCAGTTCATCACATCTAGCACTGATGATTATATTGCTATTGAAGAGCGATGAACTCCGGCAACTGTGTGGGTCTATCCCACTGATTCCACTCACCAACACAATGCAAGGCTCACACATACTTCGTTGACCGCATGCATGTACAAGACCACCGTTCGGAAGCTCGAAGGAATATATTTCAAAGCATCTACCGTAGTGACGCACATAAAGGCACATGCGCTTTAGTGTGAGTTTTTGCGTTTTGGCTCACACATAGGCGCATGCGCTTGAGTTGCTAGTGTGCCGGTACCTTACATAGTTATGTACTAGTACTGTAAAACCGGAAAGTCTAACGAGTCACAAAGTCTAACGTTTTAACGACCAATTATTTTTCGTTATTTGAAAACACGTTATCGCTAGATGTCTGTGTAAAGATGAGTATACAGATGGATTGCCAGGTAGCCATCACTAAACTTTCTGCACGTAATCATGCCAAAATTACAAAAACGTTAAACCTTTTGGTCGTTAGACTTTCCGGTTTTACAGTAGTGCAATACCGCAATGCACATTGAACTATGTGAATATGGTGTTTTTGTGGTGTCTGTTTGTCGCGGGATGGACTGCATTTAGGTTCACTTATAAGCCCATGCGCCTATTTGTGAGGGTGCACTTATGCCCGGGTATAGGCACATGCGCTTATATGCGCGTCACTACGGTAGCCGCATCTAAATGCTCAAAGCAATAATTTCAGATTTCATTGCACATCGCTATTTAACGCTCCAGCTTTAGGAGCCCCATATGCGCATTGATTTCTTCAGGGTGGTAGCATTCCCACGGACGTGGAGGACTCGGTCTGAATGTGTCCTATGATAACTGTGAACTCTGTATCATTTATCACTGTATCCGCCAACAGGGCAGGATAGACCTCACACTCTCACCTGATCAATGCCCCAAGCCACACCGTGCGGTGAGAAGATGATGTTGTTCGGATTGCCTTCGTTCTCCCAGAGAACCGGCAGCCGATCCCAGTTGTTCATCAGCATGTCCAGTGCAAGAATCCTACCTGCGACAGCAAGCCAGTACACACTGCATGTCTGCTAGGCAACTAATACAATCCAGAGAACCAAAGAAAAACAGCTTGACCCATTCTGCTGTGGTGAACACGAACTTAGTGACATCATAGTTAACCGGCAACAGATGGTATAAACTGGCCAGCTTAATTTCACAACATATCTACCAAATGTATGCAGTCATGCAGGCAAATCCATAATGTCAAACATCCAGAGTAGCCTACCTCCCATGATTGCCCAGACTCTATTTTCCAGTCACTAATAGAGCTAACAGTTACAAACTGCATGGAATGATGACAATAATAGAGAATAAAATTATTGTGAAGATCCTGCCACACAGTGAAAAATTATCGCAACCAGCATGCATCAACTCTTTCTCACCAAGGCCGAAGAACAGGCAGTGACTGTTGGTGCTCGTGAAAGCCTCGCGGGCCTTGTCTGGTGTAAGCATTGCCAGCGGCACTCCCTGGTGGCAGGAACGCATAAGGAGAAAAAGGTTGTTAGGTCAGCGCTCTGCTACAAGACAGAACCGAAACTATCTGAGTCACTATCACTAGGAAAAAAAGGAAATTATCGTGTCCGTTCCCGAAGGGAACTCACGACGGCCGCTAATGTGATAGTGACTCAATGCTGTAGACAGCAAGCTGTGTACGACTCGTACTCCCCCCCCCCCCCCCACACATATACACACACACACACAAACCCACACATACTAGGCTCCTGCATGAATCATAAGGAGGCATCATACCTACATTGTATGGAGCTACAATGAAGAAGGTGTTCAGCCAGGAGCAACCAGTGCTAAGAGATAGAGATGGAATTTGCATACTCAGTACTGGCCTGAAGAACTCATACACACACACACACACACACACACACACACACACACACACACACACACACACACACACACACACACAAACACACACACTCTCTCTCCCTCCCCCTCGCTCTCTCCTGCTTTGAAATTTGCTTCCATAGAACTGGGCACCCTTGCCCGTTTGGCCTTGCGAAGTAAACTAAAAATCAACAACAATAACAACAACAACAACAACAACAACAACAACAACAACAACAACAACAACAACAACAACAACAACAACAACAACAACAACAACAACAACAACAACAACAACAACAATAACAACAACACACAAACACGTGCATGTAGTGTCAGCGATCACTACTCCTCATGCATCTACCTGCTCTGTACAATGGACAAGTAAAATCTCGGCCTGTCACGTTGCCTGGTCTCACCTTCACGAACTGCATGATGAGGATGTACGGCCGATCGAGCTCCTTCTGCACCTTGGCTCTGAAAGTAGAAACAAAGGAAGCAAATATAGAGGGTTAAACATGTTCAAGTGATAAGTCAAGATGCCTCAGTGTTTGTTCATCACCTTCAAATATAACCAACCAACCGCTGAACCAGCAAACCAACCGACCAATGTAAGCGGAGTACATGTAAATACTACGGAGTGAGATGAACATGAGGACGGCAGCCATTCAAACTTTGATTCCAAATATGTCCCACACATTTCGAAGTAGGTAGTGGTCCATTGTAGTATTCTACCCTTCTCAAAAACAAGAATCAAAGGCATACGCCACCAATACATGTACAATCAGTACTAGTATGTAGTAATCCTGATGCTCTGATACATGCCGAGGCTAGCTGTATGCTCAGTCTCCGGCTAGCTGTATGCTCAGTCTCCGGCTAGCTGTATGCTCAGTCTCCGGCTAGCTGTATGCTCAGTCTCCGGCTAGCTGTATGCTCAGTCTATACATTCTTGATCTTATCTTCTTTTTTCTTTTTTTTCCTTTCTCTTTTCTTTAAAATGTTTTACTGCCAGAAGTCGTCTTCATATAAGGAGGCAGGTATGCCTGTTTGTTGTACGACTTTAAATAAATCCAACCAACCAACCAATCGCACATCCATACTTGTGATGTGACTTGGCAATGGCCTTGAGACGCTGCTGGAGGCGACGCCACTCCGGCTGCGTGTAGGCCGTCATGCGCATCTCGGGAACGGCAACGCCAACGGCCTTGGCCACGCGAGCAGCAAACAGCTCCTGCACAACTGTGCTACTGCCCTTGACGACCACGACCTAGCAACAAAGATTCGGCGCCAAGCAGAGCAGACACGGGAACTTATTAAGCCGTAGCTGTTGGTGGCGCAGAAGTACATTTAGCAATGCATGCACATGCAACTCATCATAGGGATCATCAAACGATCAATAGCCATCACTCCATTCCATCAGCCTAGAGTTATGTATCCAAATGGCAAGCATCATAACTTTGAGGAATTTCATGAAAATACAGTGCCAATGCCGGCAGACATTGCAATTATCAAAATACTATCAATTTTTTGCCAGAGACACGCTACATCTCCAGATGCACATGCATGCAAAGCATCATAAGATTACGCAAATTAGAGTCTTGCAGCAAGCAATTTCAATATGGCTAAAAAAATATTAACGCCAACATGAAGTTGAAAAAGACCTGCAAACGGTATAAATGCCGCAGACATCACCACATGACATGACAACTTGTTTGTTGTGTGCGTGTGTGTGTGTGTGTGTGTGTGTGTGTGTGTGTGTACAACATAAAGCTCATGGAATCAACAACGCAGCTGTATCAGCACCACAACGCATAGGAAATCGCCGTACCTTGTTCGAGTTACCCTGGACTTCCACAAAAATGACGCCAGAGCCACCCTCCGAAGAGGTTGAGAGCGCAGAGCAGTCCTCCCACTTTACGGACGCACTCAGAGCAGCTTGCCAGCAGTCAGATCTGTCAGAAAACTCTTTCCTGTGTGCAAAACACCGAACAAAGTGGTCAACAGTCAGCGAGAAAAGTGCAAGCAGCCACCTTTCTCATAATTATCACCAAAGTGACTAATTTGTAAAAATGAATGGTAAAGATGAATTTAAAAGCTTGAAGGTGTGTCACTAATCTCACTATGCATGCTTTTGCTATTACAAGATTGACAGGCATACATTTTGCTGTAAAAGCCATATATATAACGAAGTGCTAACTCTAACGAGTTAACGAGGAGAAAATCTGTCGTTAAAATAGAAATCGTTATACAGAAATCGATACATATACTGTCCTATTGAGCGTTGAGGATGAGTGAGAATCGTTACCTTTGGTACACATAAACTAGTCAAGTTTGGGAAATCGTTATAATTATATGCGCCTCGTTAGAATAATGGCTTTTACAGTATATGCGATTACGCCATTGTTTGCAGTGTTTGTACAGAGTGCTAGCATGCATAATGGCTTTCCATACCGTGGATATGCATAGCGTTCCAGAAAATATGTGCTGTTCCCTATGTTGTTGTTGTTGTTGTTGTTGTTGTTGTTGTTGTTGTTGTTGTTTTTTTTTGTTTTTTTTTAAGCGGCAGCACTCATTTTATAGTTGCCAAGCCTCTGTAAAAATACCATCTTGATCAATAATAGAAATGTAACTAAAACTGCTCCCTGTGTGGGAGCTCGCATTTTCCTGCCAACTGCCCTTGACATTTGCCTGACGCACGACTGCCATCCAGACCACACAAATGTCCATCGAACCTTCCACTCGACGAACCTGAAAAAAGCGCCACTCCCGACTCCAGACACAATGTGTCGGGAATCCACTCCTAATCAGCCGAGCTCGAGAAGGCTAATGAAATTTGTGCAGTAGCGCTATGATTTACCATCTTCTAACATCTGAAACATCACTGGGGATACCACCTTACCGTGATGCTCCGTTTGCAGCGCGACAACCACCTAGCTACTTCCAGACAGCAGGGCGGGTAAGTGTCACCCGTGAAGGTGCAGAACAAATGCCGAGGACCGTTGGCCACTCACAGCGTTGTTGCTGCCGAACCAACTACAACTAGGACCCAAGCATGTCACAATGTGCTGGAGACAAAGACTCACTGAATCACGCTGATGTTTCGAGGTCACAAGGTGCTTGTTGTGCTGGAAACGGGGGCGCCACTGTACGTTTGCACCTCCAGTGTTGTTTCGGCTGCTGGAGCGCTGTAAATTGTAGTGCTCCCGCAGCACAAATCCCATTAGCCTACTCAAGCTCGCGCGCTCAGGGATAGATTCCCAACACACCGTATCTTGAGCAGCGGCGAGTGGTGCTTTCCCGCACGTTTGCCAAGTTGACAGTTCCATGGACTTCTTATGTGCTCCTGATGGCAGTAATCACTCAGTCGAGTGTCAAGCGAACTTTGCAGGGAAAGCGCAGGCCCAATGTAGGAAGCAGCAACACACAATTCCTGAAATAAATGATTGCTAGTGCACTAGTGTCAAGTGAACTTTGCAGGAAAAGTGCAAGCTCCAATGTAGGAAGCAACACACAATTCCTGCAATAAATAATGCTGAAATAATGCCTCTATTCCATACTTCCAGGAAATACTACAGGAATGTACATGAATTGATTCAGTAGTGGAAATCCAGCCTTACTCAGCTGCTCCCTTGCTCCTCTGTCGCCAATTGCCTGTAGTGCTGGCTGCCGCTGCTGCTGATGGTGGTGGTGGTGGGGGTGGTGGTGGCCCACCTTTCATACCAGCTTGTATTGTGGGCTGGGCAGGAGGTGGAGGAGGTGCTGGACTGCCTCGAGCAACAGATGGCACCATGGCTGGCGGAGGGGCAGGTGGTGGTGGTGGTGGCGGGCCTCCTTCAGCAGCGGACAGCACACCAGATGGCACTGGTGGAGATAATACTGCCGGCGCACACTGCTCGTCCCTCTGCTCCGTGAAGGTGCTGCCATCAACTCGACGAACAACAGTTGTTGTCTAAAAGGGACAGAACATCCGGGTACAAATTCAGATACTGCGCAAAATAGCCTCTCTGCACATACATAGGCTGTAGGCATAATTATGTGCATGATGGTGTGTGCAATGGTCCGGATTAGGATAGCAAGTGGCTTGATGCATGCAGATCAGACATGGTCTGTCTTTTAAAACAACATAAGAACATGAATGTCCCGGCGAACACTATGTGTAGTACATAAGCATGCCAGGGGTGTAGGTCGACTGACTGGTTCATGGTATCCCAGACAATTAGATAATCTGTTTCAGGGTGTGCAGACTCCCACTGCAGCCAAAAAAATAGTTCTCAATGCGGTCCCTGGGCTGCAATATAAAATAATCAGGTAAGGCCATGGTAAAAAATAAAGTTGATTCTCAGGTCACGAGCCTGTGAAAATCGGGTGAGCGAGCGATTTTTTATTTTATTTCCCACAATTTTTTTTATTAGTGCAATTAGGAGTATAATCGATGCAGACATGGCCAAACAACAACGAGTTCATGGAATTTTTAAGGATTTTTATGTTATTCAAAATCGATTTTCGTGTTCCGCTCATCAGTGAATAGTATCGGAACTGAGGGTACTGTGTACAACAATAGAACATTTTATAACAGCATAATTAATTAAAAGTGTGAACAACAAAGGAAGTGCTACAGCATTACATAATAGGTGTCAAACATAGTGCTAACGTATATAACTGAGTGCAGCCACAAAGCAAGAGGTGATACAGTGCAACATGACACGCTGCCCGGTACGTTGGTAGGACTCTTCAACACCTGAACGCACGTATCAGACAACATGTGCCGTTGCACTTATTACCACCAGCAGCCAGAGCAAAGAGGCCAAAGCGTGGTAGGCCGTGTAAGAACCCGGTTAGCTCAGTAGACAAACACGCTGTGCCGACAGCGCCGCCTGTTCCCGTGCCACCACCGGCCCCACCACCTGGGGTGCCGTGGGTGGCTGGGGCTGGGGTGGGTTTGCCATCATTGACCTGGCCACCACTTCTCGACCCACTGCAAACGGCAGCGGAGCCTACTCTAGCACAACATCATCGTCCTGGAATGGAGGAGGGGCCACCGAGAGACACTGAACCTTCACCTCGGCAGTTGCCCTTGCCTCCGCCTGAGCCACCCCCTTTACCTTTGGTGACTACCGAGACGGTAGTCCCCCCGGTGCTGGGATCCACGGTGCCGACTGTGTCTGGACAGAGAGGGAGATCATCGACAAACCAAAATGAAACCAATATCCTCACCCATAGACCCAGAAGAAGCACAGCAAACTATTCACTTGAAATTTATGCACGGAATGGACTTGGCCCACGCAAAATGGACAGTGGAAATGGGTGTGCAGTAGCAGAGAACCCAGCAACGGTGACGCGGAGCAGCGGTCAGACGACTTGTGATGCTGGTGGAGATGATGGAGCCATGTTGGAGGCTGATAAGGAGTGCAGTGAGACTGAGCATCAAACGGATGATGAGGAAGTGACTGGTGATGATGATGGTGGTGATGAGGACGATGATGATGAAGATGAGACGGAGGACGAGGATAAGGCGGAGGAGGTCGAAGGAAAGGAGCGGGATGAGACGGAAGAGAGCGACGTGAGCAAAAAGTCAGCTGTATTTTGTCACTTGTTATCACGTCCAGATTGTCTTGGTGTGTACGATGATTCTCACTTTTCTGTTTTGTGCCGTGCAAGTTATGTTAAGCAGCTGAAGGTTCTGGAAGCTGTATGTATTCGTGTGCATAATCCTGTTCTTTGTAAACAAAAGAAGCATGTAGTCGCGCTAAAGTTGTTCTCGTAGCTGGTTATCAGATGTAAATGTTGTGTCATGTTGCACTGTATCACCTCTTGCTTTGTGGCTGCACTCAGTTATATACGTTAGCACTATGTTTGACACCTATTATGTAATGCTGTAGCACTTCCTTTGTTGTTCACACTTTTAATTAATTATGCTGTTATAAAATGTTCTATTGTTGTACACAGTACCCTCAGTTCCGATACTATTCACTGATGAGCGGAACACGAAAATCGATTTTGAATAACATAAAAATCCTTAAAAATTCCATGAACTCGTTGTTGTTTGGCCATGTCTGCATCGATTATACTCCTAATTGCACTAATAAAATTGCTTTCTCCACGCCGACTCTTTAAATTTTTTTTATTTTCAAAGATAGGGTCACATGTATGTACATCACAGGTTTAATATTATAATTATTTTATTATTCAGGCCAGGGAGTAGAAAAATACCGGTATTTTACTACTCCCTGATTCATGCCTTTCGCATTGACCGTTTTCATGTATGCATACCGTATTTCCGCAAATAAAAGGCCGTCCTCGTATACAACGCCTTCCTCGTATACAAGGCCGGGGCAGGGGGCGATTGAAAAAATAAAAGACCGTCTCCGATTAGAAGACCGGGCCTACTAAATGAGTCTTTGTTCTTGTGTTAAAAATAGAAGACCGTGCTCAAACTGTGGGAAAAAATAGAAGACCGTGCTCAAACTGTGTAGAAGAAAATCATCAGTACGGGGGTAAAACTGTGTGGCGAGAAATAGAAGACCGGGGGTCAAACTGGGTTGAAAGAATAAAAGGCCGTCCTCGAATACAAGACCGTCCTCGATTATAAGGCCGGGTTAGGACGAGGTTGAAAAAATAGTAGACCGGCCTACTATTTGTGGAAATACGGTATGCATGCATAGAAATTAAAGAAATCATCGGTGCGTCGCCAAAAATCGGTGCGCCCGTACTTGAGAATTAAAGATAATTTTTACCATGGCCTAATCAGGCCAATTTCCCCTCAAAACAAATTTCTCGTGTAAGCTGATACTAGCGCCCAGCATGCAGAACTACACTGCCGCTCATTGGAATCCGATTGAGTGAGTCAGGTGATCACGGTTTGCACTGCACCATACTGCATCCCATCGTTGGTTGGCAGGTCTAGTGCTGCACAATGCCCAGCGCGTACTTGACTCACGCGGTCGGACTTCACGAGGCAGAACTGTTTACAGGTAGGAACCACTTCGAAGGATTGTGTAATTCAAGTACGCGCCACGGTGCTGTGAGGTCCCCAGAGCTAGACCTGCGGACGCTGGGCTGTGCACCGGTGCAGGGTGCTGGCTTGATTCGAGCAGCCGCATTTCATCAAGCAGCATTGATTGCGCCACATGTAGATCAACACGATTGTACCGGCAAGAGCTCATGGACACAAACCCCGAGAGTGTGCAACTCAAACATACCCTGCTGTTCAGGCAGAATTTCAAGTTGACGCCATTTTTATGATGCAATGCTCCCCGCACGAGTGAGTCACGACGTTTTTACTTGGTTTAAACGCATCGCACGTGTTTTCACTCGCACTCGTTTGTACAAGTACATAATCAAATGGGGATTTGTCCACCATAGGTCCAAGATACGTCTGATAAACGTGCATTGCATCATGAAAATGACGTCAACTTGAAGTTCTTCTGCCGGGACAGCACCAATAGTGGAGTTGCACACTCTTGGAAGGGGGCGGGGGAGGGTATGTACTCGTGTTACTGGGAAATGAATTGCGCAACAACTACCTATGCAGTCAGACCTCGCTAACAAATATCCAGATCGGTGAGGGGGGGGGGGGGGCTGAATAACCGACAACTTGATCAGTGTTGCCAACTGCCCGTAAGTGCAGCAATTTTCCCAGTATGGGTTGCCTAGGCATCATACAGTGTCACGGATCACCCAGAATGCAAACACAAGCTGCAGCATTGACCTTGAGAAAATACGATCATTATGCAGCCCGACCTTTGTCATTGTTTTGTTGGCTAGGTATAGAGCTAGAGGAGTGCACACGTTCCACAGCTTACCATCACCCTAAGTGGCTGCTGCAACATTCTCTCTGACCAGGCTGAAGCTCGCATTTTATCAAGGTTGTCAAGGTCAAGGTACATGTACGCTGTTTATGTGTTTGTGTGTGTGTGTTTGTGTGTGTGTGTTTGTGTGTGTTTATGTGTTTGTGTGTGTGTTTGTGTGTGTTTATGTGTGTTTATGTGTGTGTGTGTGTGTGTGTTTGTGTGTGTGTGAGTGTTTGTGTGTGTGAGTGTGTGTGTGTGTGTGTGTGTGTGTGTGTGTGTGTGTGTGTGTGTGTGTGTGTGTGTGTGTGTGTGTGTGTGTGTGTGTGTGTGTGTGTGTGTGTGTGTGTGTGTGTGTGTGTGTGTGTGTGTGTGTGTGTGGTCAATTCATCAGCCTTGCAAGCTGTTGAATGGTGTAATCCCAGCACAAGTTGCTATGTCTAACATAGCTGTTCGCTATCATCGCTCCCGCGATGGGCATGTCTGAGGTCTGAGGTGTGTGTGTGTGTGTGTGTGTGTGTGTGTGTGTGTGTGTGTGTGTGTGTGTGTGTGTGTAATTCATCAGCCTTGCAAGCTGTTGAATGGTGTAATCCCAGCACAAGTTGCTATGTCTAACATAGCTGTTCGCTATCATCGCTTCCGCGATGGGCAGGTCTGAGGTCTGAGGTGTGTGTTTGTGTGTGTGTGTGTGTGTGTGTGTGTGTGTGTGTGTGTGTTTGTGTGTGTGTGTGGTGAGAGTGTGTGTGTATCACGTGCTCGCACACATCGTCGTGTACATGTGTGCCCGCATGTGCGTAGTGTGGCCATATGCAACTGACCTTTTTCAGCTTAGCACCTTGAAGCATGGCTTGCAGGCTTTGGCCACCATCCGCGCAACCATCTTGGTCAGCCATTGCCCAATTCAGCAAGCCATACACAGATTGTTCGAGGTTGCCCTATTCAGGAGGCGTAATGATCAATAATATGAAACTACCGCGCTAGCGCCGACCGGTGCTGTGCTGCAGCGAGGTCGAGTTTTACGACCTAAGCCTATCGATCACAGTCCAACAGCATTCTATGAGCCAACAAATGATGGTGGTGCGGAGCTCCAATTCCAGGAAGGAAGAATTCCGCGTATGAAACGGAATAGGAGAATGGATCGCTACAGAACTGCTGCTGTTCACAGCTGCAGGTATTCCTGTAGTATTCGTGCAGCTGGATAAGACTACAGCTCCAGGAGTCCAGCTCCGCGGATAGTGACAGCCTAGGTAAGTCCGGTAATCATGATTTTGCCTAACAAAATACCGGTAGTTTCATAGAAGAGATCATGAGAACATGAACCATGTGAACGCACACGCCACGGCTAGGCTCATACTCACTCCACACACCTTCTTTCTGCCTTCTGTCAAGTAAGCTTAGTTCTGGTCTAGATCCTGAATAATTATTTTAAATTCTGAAAACTGCAAAATTAATAATCCACGTTCGCGTGATCCATGTACCGGTACCATACTAATAGCACTACCAGTACTGGCATGGCAGTAGTAGTACACGATGCACGACCTGTACTGACTGTGGCTGTAGTGTAGATCTACCTCAGTAGAGGAGACGGCTCGATACCGGGACGTTTTGACAGCCAAATTTGTACCCAAACCGATCATCAGCGTTGATTTTTCACTCGAAATATGTTTGTGGAAGGAAACTGGCATGTTGAAGTTTGCTCTGGGGCCAGAGTCAATCGAACTGAGCCACTCCTTTGTGTTGACCCATTGCCTCCAAGTTGCCCAATTTTTCGCTTCAAAAAAGTTCAAATCAGAGGTGGCTCCAAACCGGACACGTTTTAGAGTGCCCGTCAAATTTACTCTGGGTCTGAAATTAGGTAATTGCTATCGCTCCACGACGGCCAGTACAGAGTAACAATAAGCCTTGTGTGTGCTTCCATTAGTTTTGATTGGTATGCGGTGCTTTATTGTCGAGAGGCGAGCCGCTGTTTACCTGCGACAAGAAGTTGATTTTTCGAAAGTCGTAAAACTCAAGTCGCACGTCAAAAACTCACCTGCTTGATATGGCGCTTCTGGTCATCGCAGAGCCGTGAAATTTTGGCTCGGAGTATAACACATCGTAGTCTCACTGTGACATATGTTTTCTAATCAAAATACCAAGAGAGAAAGTGAATATTGAGTCCGTTCCGGTTTGCAACCGGTGTCCTATTTGAAACCGTCCCCTCTACAGTCATGTAGATCTACATGATGTTGTCGGCAGTACTAGCTGTCAGTACGAGTACAGTACTCTACACGTACGTGTACACCCCGTGACCAGGTGACGTACTACTGACTACTGTCCTGGCGGCTGGCGCATGCGCATATCGCATCCGTGGGGATCCCGGGGGTAGATCTACGCGACTCTTCCTTGGTAGATTTCTACTGACTACTACTACATTTTTGAAGAAGGGCTGAGGCTTCCTGCAGCTTCATCTGTGAAAAGAATTCGGGTGGACACACCCATTCCCATAGCGCTGCATATCACATCCGAACCAGTTCCGTTATTTTTACAACGTTTCGGCACTTGGCCATCGTCAGGTAATAACAATGAATACCGTGGAAGCCACACAAGAGCAGTATATATGTTGGACTCAGTAGAGCGTCCAGCCCCTATATGATGTCCAACCCCTATATAGAGTCCATTGGTCCAAAATCCACTGTACAGAGTCCAAACTTGGAATCAACTGTGAGCTCAAAGTTTCGATGGACATCACTCCCTGTATAGAGTCCAGCCAATTGGCTTCACCCTATATAGAGTCCATTGGTCCAAAATCAACTGTACGGAGTCCAAACTTTGAAATCAACTATAAAGAGTCTTTATGTGGACAACACCCCCAGCCAATTAAAGTCCAGCCAATTAGGCATCCCCTATCGAGTTCGAAAATAGACATAGGATCTGCTGTAAGCAGTGAATATTAACCAGAAAACGGCCTCTCCCTTTAATCCTTTACATCATTCACTTCTCAAGATAAAAAATATGTATTGAGGCGCCACTGCAGCCACTTCATTACATGAAAAACCCTACAAACACCATCCTCAAATCAAGTGGTCTCTTCGCAGACGCTGCAAATTACGATATCTCAATCATGTAGTGTTGCCAAATTATTGTGCACGCACACACATATGCACACACCCACACAACGCCAAGAAAATACCTAGAAAAAAAACCAAGAATCGAAAGAGAATAATGGAGAGCCCAGGATTAATTATTTGTTTTCAAATTATTGTGCGCGCACGCGCGCACACACACACACACACACACACACACACACACACAAACTTATACAACGCCAAGAAAACACCAAGAAAAGAGTAGAGGCACAATACACACGCAACTCCAACAGCCATGCAAACGTCCACCCATTTACATGTAAAGTCAAGAGGGATAACAAATAATTATACGAAACGAATGCGTACGGGGACGGTACACGCACGTTTACATACACGTAGTAGTGTAAGAGAGTAACATAGTGCAGTAGTCAGCATAATACTAGCACATGCTGAGAGTGCAATAGCAAGCTTCACCATTGCTCATGGCCATGTAAATGTTCAGCAGCACTCAGTTCCGCAAGCTTCTGAAGATCAGCACACCTGCAACAAATAGATAGCACAAGGATACGCTTATTACCGTAATGATGCATGGGAGCACACAACTACCAAGTTCTCAACGAATGTGATGCTCAATGAAAATCAATCCACTCAAAGACCTGTGAACAGGTGATGGTGGGGACAATAATCTATTAGTAATACGAGGAATAAGATCGTGTGTGCACACTTAAGACGCACAGACACACCAACATACATGTAGTGTACACAGTGTTTCACTTCACTGCAACTAAATTGAAATGAGATGATTTGAACAATCTGTACAGCGTTGCTGTCAGTCAGTCTTCCCCAAGATGGAAATGCAATGATTTGTTGTCACGAGGCAGTTTCACTGACACTATGTCATGTTCGTGACATCAAAACGGTTACTTCAGGGAATACGAGTATTAGCTTGAGAAGCTTTTTCTTGTCATTGGCATACAAGCAATCCTCCTAGTCCTACTACTACTAGTACACTGGCACTGCGTTTGTGGATCCCATTGTATTTGACATCATACTACAGGAAGAGTGTCGTGGAGTTCACATAATTATCACAGGGATAAACTTGAATACATTTCTCATGAAATAAAATAATAATTGATGATAGCTAGACGAAGCGCACTGGCTCCAAGCCACTCAGCAGAATCATCCAGTCTGCTAGGTGGAGAATGTTTGGCCACATGCTTCGACTAGACACCTCATCCCCGGTCCAGCAGGCTATGTCGGCATACTTTCAGCCAGGAAGCTCAGGGTTCCGAGGCCGCCCGAGAACAACACTCCCGCGATCCATCAACAACGACCTGAAAAATTCCAGATCCACAAACTCCCTCACATCACACGAGGATCTAGTTGCACTGAGGCAGCTCGCCCAGGATCGTCGAAAGTGGAAGGATCTAATGTGTGCTGTGTGTAATGGCTGAAGTTATACAATTACACTAGATACCCTTAACAATAATAACGGATACAATTACACTAGATACCCTTAACAATAATAACGGATACAATTACACTAGATACTCTAGATACTAGAGACTCGGTACTCTAGATACTAGATACTCTAACAATTTTATCAAACATTATGATAATTACCACATCAAATGCTGCGGAGACCTATCCAGAATCGGCAATATGCTGGCCCTGGCCTGGAGATCTGCAACTATAATCAGCTTCTACTTTGCAACACTAACGGATTAGTCCCCTTTGTCGATTGATGGATCAATCGGTAGATTCGGCTCTGTTTTTCTTCCCTTTCTTTCTTGTTTTGAATTGTACGTTGAACTCATTGGATTTCTTTGTATTCTGTATCTCGTTATCGTTATATTTCCCTCTAGCCCTCTCGCTTAGGATGAGCTTTCTTTTTTTTTTTTTTTATGGCAGCTTAAGCGAAGGCTATATACCTGCTTTATGCAGGTTGATGCCAACGCGAACAAGCAAAATAATAATAATAATAATAGACGATCATATACGATTGATGCAAAGTCCTTGCAGTCCTTGAGGACTATTACGAAGTGGTTGATTACTTTTAGGGCATTCATTCAAGCAACATCAAACAAACGCGATACGCTCCTTGAAAATGGAAAAAAAAATCCAAGCATAACGACAGAACAGCAGACCAATCGAAACGAGTAAAAGCTTCCTTACCTCAGTCATCGTCCTGCCATGTAGTTGGACAGCCTTTTGACACGGTTGTACAGGCAGCTCTTGTCCAGTCAAACAGGGGTATCCTTGTGGCGTCGAACGAAAGAGAGTGTCAGTGTATCTGACTCGTCAGATTGCAACTGTGCTGAACTTTTCTCTTTCTCCGCTTTCTGCTTTCATCCCTCGCTCTGATGAAACCGTTCAAACGTCTTACTGGCAGCAATGGCCAGCCAAACAGGGGATCCTTGTGGCGTCGAACGAAAGAGACCGTCAGTGTACCTGACTCGTCAGATTTAAACTGTGCTGAACTTTTCTCGTTCTGCAATTTCTGCTTTCATCCCGCGCACTGATGAAACGTCTTCAGAGAACCACAAGACGCTTTCCAGATTTGATTTTGAACGTCTCCTTATCCTCCTTGGTTAGCTCGAGACAGATTACTGTCAGCAACTGCACAGCAGAATTGGCAGCCATGGCTGAAGTGAAGAAAGGAATGCGCTGCCACGAGGCAAGCAAAACTGAAAATGTGTTCTCTTTCGGGCACAACACACAGGACGGCGTGACTGGATAAACTGGACTCCTGGACTGTGAATAGGGGACTTGTAGAAAAAGTGTACTCCTTATAGGGGATTGCGCGGCAGGATGAAGCTGATCAAAACTGAGTGGACTCCTGGACTCTGTATAGTGGATTTTGGACCAATGGACTCTATATAGGGTGCTGGACATCATATAGTGCATGGACTCTATACTGAGTCCTACATATACGCAGAGTGTAGCGCCAAAAAAAAGATGCGAATTATGTCACCTAGTATGACACAGAGAGAGAAAAGGCGCAACTAGCACATCACGGAGGAGAAGCAGCAGAAGGTAGCGCGCATTGTGCTCTGTGAATGGCGTTACGCAGAGTGTAGCGCCAAAAAATAAAATGATGCGAGTTATGTCACCTCTATACAGAGGGGGGGGGGAGAGAGAGAAGGTGCAACTGTGCACATCACGGAGAAGAAGAGCGCGCCGTTGTGCTCTACGAAGTGAGGTTACATGCCAAATAATTATGGTGTTAATTCAAGCACAGGAGGGGAGCACGGAGCCCCATGAGTCAATGCACTATGAGGTTAAACTTCCATGCCAAACTGTTA